CCAAGCTATGACTCCCGGTGCCTGAACAAGGGCGAGCGCACCTGAAAGCTTCCCAATAACTTTTTTCCAGCTATGCGGTTGGTCTAATAAAAGATCTCGCATCTACCCAAAGAACTGCCTGTAAAAGGGGTGATAAAACAAGCCGTTTCAGGAAAGATTGAAGAAACGAAGCATGTTTAATCTGCAGAAAAGGTGATGGGGCAAAGGGGACATGATAGCAGTTTTCAAGTATTTGGAAGTTGATTTAGTTGGTCTAAGAAAAGACATCACATCTACCCAAAGAACCTTGCCTACCTATGTACTTAGATCAACACAGCGACAACCAAAAACCCAGCAAGCTATGAAGTGAGTGCTCAGAAATGTGAGACTACTTGGCAGCTGGTTTCTATCTATCTGGCTTCAATCTGGATGTGTAGCAGGGCCCTGTGTTTGTTTCCTCAGTAGCCACAGGACCTACCCCCTGCTGGAATTCATGAATCATCATGGTAAATTTAAGTGTCATTGGAGCCGAGTCTTCCTTCAGTGCCACAGCAGCGAGGGAAAAATTAGAGCTGCTTGCCTTTAATTCTTTACTATTTTTCTCCTATTAAGTGAAAGGGATGGTTTGATTCACATATTCACTACCTCTGGTTCCATGAGCTGTTGAAATAGAAATGCCAAATCACTCCAATAAAAATATCCTGTATGTTTTAAGTGCATCTTCAGCGTTGCAGAAGATTGGCTCGCAGTGGACTTGACACAGCAGCAGCAGAAAATGACAGGAAAGGTCCCTCCGTTCCCTTAATTTTTGCTGGATGTAAACCTTGTATTTCAACAACTGCTGCTTCTGATTTCAGCCATGCCTTTCAAAGCCAGATCTACACTGCACCATGACAGACCCACAGGTTTGGACTAAAAATTATCAGAAGTGGTCAATTTCAGGCCCCCCACTACAGAAAGGATATGGACAAATTGGAGTCCAGCAGAGAACAACAAAAATTGTGAGGGGACTGGGGACATGACTTATAAGGAGAGGCTACGGGAATAGGGCTTATTAAGGCTAGAGAAAACAGAGGGGATTTAATAGCAGCCTTCAACTACCTGAAAGAGGATAGAGCTACACTGTTCTCAGTGGTGACAAATGACAGAACAAGGAGCAACAATCTCAAGTTGCAGCAAGGGAAACTTAGGTTAGATCTTAGGAAGAATTTTCTCACTAGGAGGGTAGTAAAACATTGGAACAGGTTACCCAGAGAGGTGCTGGTGTTTTTAAGACCCAACTAAGAGCCTTGGCTGTGATGATCTAGTTGGGGATGGTCCTGCTTTGAGCAGGGGGTAGGACTAAGTGAATTCCTGAGGTTCCTTCCAATCCTAATTTTCTATGATTTCTATGAAGTTAGGTTTCCAGTTAGCTGGTTCTAACATGCAAGAAAGAAAAAGCCTCCTTTACTTACCAGGTGATCAGTTACTATAAAAGGCTGAATACTATCAGGTGCTGAATTTCATCAATGCCAGCTGACTTCACTTGCAGCTGAGAGTTCTCACTTCAGGTTCAGGAAACAAACCTTTTGCATGTTCACTGTTAAACATGTGCATGATGTTAAATTGAATGTAAAGTCTTTACACAGAGAGTATACAGTCTTAAGGCTTGAGATATACATGAAAGTAGGCTATACATTTTGTCTTTTACCTCATTTTGTACCCATGAACAAGATTAGCGATTTTTCTTGCAAGTGATTTTTCTTGCAAGAAGATAGCATTACCAAGCTATCTGTTGGGTTCAGAAGACTTAGCTATCTGCTCATGTTACTGCAGTTCAGTAGAGAAATACAAATAGATAAAAAGGAACAATGTTTGATTTCTCAACTTTTTGTTCCTAATAGGAATTTATTTTGGATTTTTTTAAATTTGCCTTCAGGCATCTGATTCTTCTGTTCCACCTGGGTTATTTATGAATAAGCATTAAACCATTTGTTTCACTTGGGAAATTAAACATCACCACACTCAAATGTTATTTGCACTGTATGCTAGAAAGATAAATGTAAGAAAATCCTGTTCCTTGATTAACATTTTCTGACTGAAGATTATTCAGGAGTGCCAGTTACAAGCGAAAACAAGCTTTACCTGAACAAAAGTTCAGATTATTATTGCTCACTGTGTGCAAGTAGGAGTAGAATGCTTGTACAGAGCTCAACTGTCCCAAAACAAAAGACTTCAAATACCTAATTTTTCCTCACACTTCCAATGTAAGAATTAGAGCTCCCTAAAAATAACTCAAGAGAATATCAGCTTCTCCTGAGCTCACAACACAATCAAGCAGGAGAAAACAGAATTGCTGTGACTGTGTGGTAGAGTTTCTGCCTACCACATGGGTGATCTGAGTTCAAGTCCCAGCTGTATTAAGTAGGGGTGAGTGAAATGACAGGGACAAATTCTTACAACCTGGAGAGGGTACAAAAGAGCCACTTGCCTAAATGAGAGGCCTGCAGGGAAGGCTCTATAAGGAATGGCTAAGGGACCTTAGCTTCTTCAGCCTCTCCGAGAGAAGGCTGAGAGGGGACCTTGGTGTGACATACACATTCATAAGGGGAGAACAACATGAAGTAGGTGACGATCTGTTCACCAGGGCACCCCCTAGAATGACAAGGAACAAGGGCCTTAAGACAGAAGGTTCAGGCTGGGCATTAGGAAAAAATTCTTCATGGTCAGGGTTGCCAGAATCTGGAATGGGCTCCCAAGGCAGGAGGTGCTCACCCCATCCTTGGGGGTCTTCAAGAAGAGACTGGACAGGCACCTGGCAGGGATCACATGACCCCAGGGTTGGTGACTCTTTTCTTGCCTGCCAGGGGCAGGGGGGTCAGACCAGATGGCCCACTGAGGTCCCTTCGGACTCTATGAATCTATGAAACTGTTTTCACATTTTAATTCTTATCCATGCGGGGGTCATCCCTCTTTTCTAATGTTTCCAAAATGCTACCAACTAAACATGTCTTACGCCTGCAGGCTAAGTACAGACATTTGGGGGCATTACAAGGAAGTTAAATAGATTCAGAATGGTTGCCCAATATCAGGTAAGTCAGGATGGGTGGGCTAGCAGGGGGCTTGCCCAGTCTGCCAAGGGATGAAGGGCAGGTGTGACCCATGGGTGGGGTGGGCAGGGCCAGTGTGAGGGGTGTGGGCAAGCACAACCCATGGGTGGGACGTGTCCCCCCCCAGCAAACCTATACCCCCATCCCTTGCCTCTTCCCCCACCAGGACTTATTTGCTCAGCTCCGGCAGTGTTCAAGTGCTGATAAAAGCGGCTGAACCTTGTGGGGTGGGGGTTGAGATGGCTGGCTGTAGGGCAGTAGTGAAAAGAACAGCACCAAGGCTGGGGTTTCCAAACCTCGGGGTTGCACTGGTAAGCATATAGGAGTTCCATGCACCACTTTGACCTAAATGGAATAAAGTTTGATACTACATAGATCTAGGTTGATCTTAAACTGGGTTCTGCAATTTTTAGACCAGTATGTGTGCATGGAACATCTGTAGTTACAGGTTTAGATTGACTGCGGTCACTGAGACCCAGTGTTGCCGAGACTTGCGAGAAAAAAAAGTGGCATTGCCTTTAAAAACAAAGCCAAAACAAACCCAACCCATTTCAAATAGGAGAGTGGAGGTGCTTATCAACCCTCAACTCTCAAAACATTCAAGTGACTTTAAAAAAAAAAAATAGCCCAATTCCACTTATTATAAAGTGGACTTGGCAACGCTGCTGAGATTGGGTCTGTACGTGTAAGGTCAGCACCAGGACGAACTAAGTTTAAAAGGGGCGGCCATTTTGAACCCAATTTAACCTCCCCAAATGTCTGTACTTAGCCACATATATCTCAACATATACTTTCTATTCATTTTCTGAATTACATTTAAAAAAAAATCTGCACTTGGATTATACATTTTTTGAGGCAGGGACAATTTTTCTGTTCTGCTTACACGGTACCCAAGCACAAAGTTCTTAAACTATGATTAGGACACAAATAAATCAAACATACAAGGATCATTACTGTAACAGACAAATTCCTGGAACAGTTACAGCAGAACAGCTGACATCAAGTCACTTCCCCCAACTCTCTCTTTTTAACTTGGTGTAATCTGTTTGTCTGTCCATACCAAGTTAAAGTTTTTTCAGCTTTATCTTTCTCAGTGCCTGAAGCCAGGTAGAAACACCCCACAAGTGTACAGGGAGGAGTCTAATGTCAAGTTATGAAGATAAACTGCAAATACTAGATTGCAAAGGCACTGCATTCTCAGTTGCTTCAGTAAGATAAGCTCATTATATGCACCAGCAGATTCTTGTTACCATTTGTATTGCAAGTCTTAACCCCCTGCCCTCACAACTTATACATCACCCTTGTCTCCCCACCTCCTTCCTTTCCAGGGACATCCTGCAAATGCCACTCCCTTCCTCTGTACCATGGAAGACATGTGCCCCTTAAGGCAGGAGTTATTCCCCATGACAGTGGCTGTACCCCCACCCCCATGGTCCCTACTCACCTCTTATTTTCTATTCCACCCCCAGGAGGGGAAGTTCCTACAATCTCTCCAGCCAGTGTCCTTCCCCACTTCTGCAGGTCTTTTCCATTTCAGTCCATGCTGCCTCCTCTCCTCCACTATTCACTTTCAGGGCATTTTAAAGTACTTAGAGTACAGGCAGAAATAAGCTGGGATACTGTAACAGTTAAATGCCTCCTGAATGGTTGCATAACTATCAAAACAATTACAGAGGTGCCAGCTCTGCTAACCAGATGGGTATTCTTTGTGGCTATCCCCACTCTTCTTTTCTGTCCCCTCCCCACCCCCAGTCCCCTGGTATTGACTGAAAACAATGTGCAAAACTCTACTGATATTGAGAATACTTGATATTTCTGAGTTGACTGGAGACTGCATTCCAGAGTTAATATATGTGGAGCGCAACATCCACATATCAAAGTATCAAGTAGACTGCTACACCTCATTGATAACAATAAAAAGCTTCAGTATTATTATGTATAAATTACAGAAAATACTTTATTAAAATAAATTACACTGATGAAAATTCTCATACTGAACATACAAACACAGGCACTGTTGTAAACATTAGCTATATAGTGGCCACATTCAATAAGACATTTAAAACTTAACTTTCCACAAAAAAGGTCAATATTGCACAATCCAGTTCAGCTACCAATAATTTTCTGCAGTAGCAAAAGTAAGTTTTACAAACAAAAAGAGTTTCCAGTCTCTCTCAGAGTAGCCTGTGAAATCGCTAGTTTTATTTGCTAGGCCTTCATGGTGGCACCTGAAGCAGCAATTTATTTCTGAACATAGGTAGCAATTGTGCCATCCTTCACGTGTGTAGGACAGCCTGTCATCCAATACAGCACTGTATAATGTCTAGAAACTAAAACTTAAAAGGACCATCTGTAAAATACCAGTTTTCAAGGGCAACATTTTGCATACCAAATTTTTTCTGGAGGCTGCGGGTGTGTAAAGGCAAGATGGACAGGTGACAAATTACAAAGAAATCCATTTATTTTATTTTAAATGCAGTGTCGCTAGAGTCTGCCAAAATTCTAAAGTGCTTCTTAAACCTACCCATTAATCAGTAGAGACAAATTTCCACACAAAGCAGTTGCATGATCAACCTTATTTGTTGCTTATGTGACACGTAACAGAATCAGGAAAATAATTATCAGCACTTCACTTTAGCTTTGCAATTAAAAATTCCTATTTTAAGGATTTTTCAGACAAACCCTAGTTGTGCAGAGAACTGCTTTATTTAGCCAGCTGTAAGAGGATGAATCATAAATGCTTATTACTCAGTAGTCACTAGATATACTATTTTATATACACTAGCAAAATTAAGCATATTGACAAGAGTGCTAACTTTGGTTCATTATCCTCCAAGGATTTCAAGTTTTTGCCTAAAAGAAATTGCAACATTAAATTACACATCTTTTCATTTGTTCTGTAATTATATTACATAGAAGTTCTTCAAGATAACCATCTGACCTACAAGGATATGTGTCAAGTTATGGCCTCCATAAACAGCAGGCTTCCTTGTGAAAACATGAGGAGCTACTAAAAACAGCTTAATCATCTTGCTGAATTAGGCCTCTGTATTAACCATAACAGCAAATGAAAATCCTTTATTTTACCTCCAAAGGGTAAAATGCTTACTGCTTAAAAAAAAAAGCAGGACACTGTCTTAATAAAGTTACCAAGTTTGAAAGTGCTATTAAAGAAGTAATAATTTCAGAGCTGAGTTTACTTTTTCCATTTTACTGTCAAAAATTAAAACTAGCCAACTTCATATCTAATTATAGTCAGTTTTCACATTCCAGTCTGGTGACCTTAGCATTATGAAGGTAGACCACTATTTCCAATGTCTCTGATGAAGAAAAAAAAAAAAGACTAGAATATAAATTTCTCTTGGTATCAAGTTTTGAAACTTCTGCCTATACCAGACTTCTCTTTAAAAGGAGATGTCAATGCTCAAGAAGATTAAATCACATCACAATTAACTGCTGAGTGCCCTGAATAAGTATTACAGAAATCTGAAAAAGTCTAGTCATTACTATTAAAAAACATGGGGGGGCAAGCTTCTTACGAGCAGTGCCTCATTTTGAAATGCTCAGGAATGAGTTTCACTGGTAATACCAACCACCAGACAACACTAAAAACTGTTTATGCACACGAATTAACACAATCTAATCCTGACTGGCTGTTGTGCTGTTCAATATTCTAGGTTTACTCCAAATGGGATACAGTGCAGAGACCTTGCAGCCATGCAGCAGCTTTGCCAGACTCCTAGGCTGTAAATAGACACTGCATTTGTCCCAGGAACCTACGGACATACATGTCCAGTGTCCCACTTGAAGTCCCTCTGAAGTATGCAGGATAAAATGTGCCAATGCTTTTTCCTGGGGCACAGCCATGTGCATTTGTACACTTTTTGCCAGGCATTCAGGTACAAACAGGTTAGGCTGCCTGCTCTCCTTCACCACCTACTGACAGGGGAACAGAAATGCAAGTTGGAAGGACAATGTGTATATCTAGGTATAGACATTCAAAAAGCCTGAGGCAGAATCAGTCTATGTTATGCAGCTTTCTGTAAGCAGCATAGTTTAGACTGATAGCAAACAGAACATATATTTGCCTGGGGAAGGGGATGGAGAAGACGCACACATCTTAAACCAGGTTCCACCATTTTTAAACCAGTCTGTGTGGGCCAAGCTCCTGTTCCATTATGGGTATAGACAAGTTTTGTGTGCTGAACTTCTGTTCCGTTACAGCTTTAGATGGGTTTTCAAATCACTTATACCAGTAGAAGTGTAATGTCTGTACCTGGCCTATATGTCTGTTTTGATCTGGGTCAAACCCCACGACAAATCAGGCCTGTCTCAAATTAGATACTCATTTAAAGCCCTAAGCACCAATTCTTTCTAATACTTTAAGGGTATGGGTTTGACCAGTGCCAAACTGCAGCAATAGACCTCAACTGTCCTGTTCCAAGATCAGTCCTCGTTTTAGATTCTGATATCATCTGGTGTGTGATTCTAAACACTCTTTCACTGCTCCCAGAATGTGCTGGACCTGGGATTTTAGTTTGACCTATTAGACAATGCAGGATTAGGGCTCACCAAGAAAATTCAGGGTAGGCTCCAGAAAAAGCATCAACACTAAGAGAATTCTGATACAATATTTAGCAATGAGTTTTGGTTTGGTCCTACCTATAAGTGCAAGTTACTTACACAAAAGAGTTCCTCAAGGGCAGGGAAAACATAATTTTTAAAACATATTTAGTCACTAAGTTGTTTTGTACTAAAGATATAAACACCTTATGTCACTTAATGATTATTCTACAAATAGCTACTCATGTCTTTCATTTTTGTTTTGCCAATTATTTACAGAACATTTTGAAATTCATAAGGCATTACGTATATGCTTGATTCTTGGTCCTAAGATTAGAATTTATCTAGTTAGGCAGCCACATCCCAAAAGGACAAAAATAAAAAGGTAAGTTTTAATATCAAACTGAAATCTTACCTTCAATTCACTTGTGGAACTCAAAAGCTAACTTAAGTTACTAGTTTGCTTTCACTCATTATCCTTCAACTAAATATTTTCACACTTAGCATTAATTCCTTTCATTACCAAAATGATTAACTATATTAACTGAATTCAAGTGCAACACTTCTTCATTTAAGGTTTTGGTTTTTTTGAAGTTTCTTCATCTGTTCAAAGCAATTATATTGAATGGAAAAGGAGCTAATGTTAGACCAAATCTTCCATCCATATGGGGCTTTTTAGCGTTCTCAGGATACAAAAATGTGAAACTTTGCAGGAGATTTACGAACATCAAGAACAATTCCATTTTTGCCAGCTGCTCTCCCATGCACACTCGTTTACCTTAAGAAAGATTTGAAATGTAAAAAATATTATCTTATAGTTGATTTTTTGAACAAACTGTTGATCTATGCATACAGTTTTTATACATCCTATAATTTCCACACTTCCATGTACCAGTTAAAAGGAGACTTAAGCTCCCATTCAGATCTGAACTTGCTAAAATTCACTGTCTTTGTTTTGACATCTCACTTAGCTTTATGACATGACACTAGGCCTACATCCTGCCACAAAGAAAATATTGTTAAGACTACAAAGTCAAGAACACTGAAGAAGACTGCACACACTGAGATCAGTCCAAATGTGTTGGTCCAAATTAAACTATTAATTTGGAAAGGATACTTCTAAAATTTTTAAAATATTTACGTTTATATTATAAAATATTATATATATTTTATATTAATGGTTATATAATATAGCCTTAAATAATCACCATACATCACACACATCATTAAAAATTCACCCCTCAGATCCCACACTTCAAACAAATCCCACTCCAACTATATCTCAATATTTTACCAAGTCCAAAAGGGATGAATGTTTCTCTTTTGATTAGTTGGCCGTTTTCATCCAGAAATCTTGTTGGTAGGAAGTCATCTGGCTTCTCCCATGCATTAGGATCTCTGTGCACTGACCACAGGTTGGGCACAATCACACTGCCCTTTGGAATAGTATATCCCTGCAGTACTTTTACGTCAAAACACAAAGACAGGTGATATCTAACAGGTGACAAGAGCAAACGTGAAATTTCACGCTTAACAGAAGACAGAATAAAATGCAATAATGTCCCAGAATTTCACTGTGGACAATTTGCACGCATCACAGGTCAGGGCTGCCTGTGCATCGGCTCCCAGATCAAGCTAGAGCTGGAAGGTATGCCAACTGCCAAGGATCAAGAGGGAATGGGGAAGCCGCAGTCAAGTTACTTCTCTCCAAGGTGTTACTCAACATGCTGTCAGAATACTGGTGATACCAAATACCGGCAAGAAGCAGGTACAGGAATCCCACTCTGAGCAATGGTTGCTGGCCCCATTTTTCCTCCTTCCCTACTGTGGAGGATTCTAACAGAAGTGATAAGGGGACTCTACAGTTCATCTACTTGCAAGCACCTAGGTTTGGGACAGACATTCAAAAAGCCTGAGCCTGAACTGGTTCAATCTTTGCAGGTTAGTCTAACCTGCAAAGCTTGAACCGATTTGGAGGTGGATAGACATTCCCTTTTCATTCCAGAAATGTAGGCAAATACCTGCAGTGGCTCAGGCTAGGGAGTGGGGGTGCTAAAGAAGCACTCCCTTCCTTCCACAGTGTTGATCTGAGGGGGCACGTGGCCAGGGAGGTAGGATGCTGGGGGTACAGGGGACAGGAGACTCTGATTAGGGAAGGGTTTTAACCCCCAGCCTGCCTGCAGTCCCATGCTTTTCCCCACTGGCTGCTCAAGTGGCAGGAGTGTTGCCACGCCCTGCATCTGCTGATACTGTGCTTTAATCTCCATCTCCCTGTCTTCTTGCAGATTCCACCTCCCCATCTTCTTGCAGGCTGTCTGCAAACACCTTTCTCTGTCCCCTCTAGAAGACTGACAGATTGCACCCAGCAGGTTGTTTGTCAGAACAAAGTTTATCAGCCCATCAAGCCCTACAAAAGAAAACATCTCTCTCATTAGTTTAAAGATCTTATCTGCAGGGTGCATTTGCAAGCCACTAGCTTTCTGCCTTTACTCAAGTGAAATTGGAGACCTACACAGACCTCTCAGCATTAGCTAGCATGTGGGGGGAGCATGGCCAGATGCTGGGTCTCTGTGCTGGGATCCCTGCCATGGGAGACGGGCAGAAGGGGGGATCCCTGCTTTAGCAGCCAGTAGGGAGGAGGGTAGGGTAAGCCTGGCAGCTGCTGCAGTCCCTCAGCCAGCCGAAGCAGTGACCCTCCAGCTAGGAAGGAGAGGGTCAGGGCCAACCCTGCTACATTCAACCATCACACCAGAGTGTGATGCTACGTTCAACCAGGGTTATCTCAAACCAGTTTTGGCCATTTTCAAACTGGGTTATGTGCACTGACTGTCTGTTCTGTTACAGGTTTAAACCAGTTTCTGATCATGTGAACTGGTTTACGTGTAATGTCTGTCCCTAGCCCTAAAGGCACCAGTAGGGGATGGGACACGAGAGCATGCAACGCTGATGCACTGGGTGCTAATTCATTTAAACACAGGCATTTGGGGTGGGCTGCAGGAAGAGTAATGTTAATATGGGATGTATCCATTACATGGGAACTTGTACTGTCATCACACCCAAATGCACGAGTGTTTTGAGCAGGGCAATGATCACATATTTCTGCAATATTGGCACATTCCTTTCAAGCTGAGCAATCACACTGCACTGAATTAACGTTTTCAAGACTGTCAAGGCTAGAAATGTTTGTTTTATAAAGGAAGGGGGGAAATCTTGATTTTCAATTCCCAGAAGGTGGGCTGGTCAACAAAGGCTTATGCAGTTGCAGCTCATTTTTAATTATGAAACACTTGGGGAATCTTGTGCCAACCACAGTGCATGGCTAGATTATTTCTCCTAGCCCTTCTGTTCTCAGGAAATGGCATTTTACACTGAGCTTACATCTATTACTGAATAACTGATCTTTGTAAGCTCCCTGAGATCTCACCAGTAATGTCAGCCACAAAAGAAATAATGTACTAAGAGACACACTTACCAGCAGTCTCTGAGGCCATTCGAGGAACAGAAAGAGGAACAACAACAGTCATTCGTTGCACCTCCATGATGGTTGCCTCTGTGAAGGGCATCTTAGCCTTGTCAGCAAGAGAAGGAGCTCGGTCCAGCCCAATAACTGCACTGATTTCTGCATGGACCTTTTCTATGCAGCAAAAGTAAGATGAAAGAAAGACAACAGCACATTTCTAAGGCACACCTACACTGCAGACATCTGACAACAGTTATATGGAAGTAGGGTGTGTCCTGTCTGACCCAACCGTGCCAGCAGAAGTCCCAAGAACTGACAGTTATACCAGTATGAGAAAACTCTTGAAGAGAGAGAAACAAAAGTAAAAACAATCACAGTTTTGCCAATACATAGCTCTTAACATGGATGAAGCATTTTGCTGGTGTCGACTTAGCCTCAGTGTTAGATTACGAGCTATCATTGTATAGCCAAAGATCTGAGAGTACTGGTAATAGGGGACTAGAGCCTTTCATCTCTAGGTGGTGGTCAAGTGCATAGTTCTTATTGTTTAATGACTGCTCACTGAGCCACATGAAACGAAGTACAATCAATTTAAAACAGGAGAGGGAACGGCATAAGTTTCACTAAAAGATGTGCTGCAGTTCTAACAAGATTTATTCAGGAAGTCCTATAGCCCGTCTTATGCAAGTCAGAGCATATGATCATATCAGCTTCTGCTGGCCTCATTACTGATGAATAATCCACTTTCCAGCCAACATTAAATTAAAAAAATACAAGGCATGTCAACCACCAGGACTGTCACCATGAACAAAAAGAAAAGGGTCATGGACACTGGGTATGTAGTATGATTTCACTACCTTGTCACCCCTGAGCTGCAGTATGTTAGTGAACTGCATGGGAAAGTTTAACAGCTGCTGCTTATTTTACCCATGCTAGGGCAGTAACTCCAAGGGTCTTGGGTCAGAGCTCTACCTCATGCACTAGAATCCCTTTTAAAAAAATATGACTCAGTGGTTTGTGGCAGAGTTGGAAAGACTTTCCAAGCACACACAGCACAGACTGCCAAGTAAAAATGGAAGCAGATTCCCTGCATCTATCACACACTGAGGTTAAAGTAACTGAGGGAATGTGCGAGATTCTTTTTTCAGCCTATAAAAAGAAGCTATCATAACACAGAAGATTCATCATTTACAGTTGTTGACCTCTTTGTATTACAACAACATTCACTATGCAACAAGTTGCTTTTCACATGCACATGAAGTTGCTGCTCTTTCCAAGGAACCTGCAATCTTAAAAAAAAAAAAGTCAGTTATCTACAACTGTTCTTGAAATCCTGTTGACAGTGGTTATTCTGCTTGTTCCATATACCACTGCCCAGCCATATTTGCACTTTTACACTTCAATACTGATCAAAGTTTGCCTGTCAGTTCAATGCAAGAAAAAGTTCAGTCAGAGAAAGGGATTCAGTTTTCACTTCCTAAGACAGACTCTTGCTGCCATCTATGGGTTTGCTAAGGAAATATCACCCCAGGTGAAGTACACAGAACATGATTGGAGCTTTAGGAGGAGCTGTTCCAAGGCAGCTATGTCTCACTAGAACATAATTTTAGGACCTGGGATTATTAGTACATGTGTTTAGCAGCAGCCTTAGTGTAAGGTACAGGTTACCTCTCACCACTAGCTTAAAAATTCGACTACTGCACTATCCCTGTGAAGAGCTGTATTGTTCTAAGCAAACCTTCTGCACATACATCTTCTGTGCAACAAAGATTGTGCATGTGCAATCACACACACACACACACTCCTGGCCCCAGAGTACCAGTGCAGGGCCCATACTCCAATGATCCAGTGATGCTGGGGACCACGTGGTGCTGGAGCAGCCAGTGGGCATGCAGGAAAGCAGTGAAAGCTGCAGCAGGCAGAGGCTTCTGGTTGGGAGGGCAGTAGTGAGAGAGGGCTGGAGGTGGGAGTGGGGCTGGGCCAGCCTTCCTCTGAGTCCTACTGCCTCTGTCTCCTGTCATCTGTGACAGGCAACCAGGAACAGATAAATATATTTTGTCTAAAATTTTTAGGGGCCCCACGGGCCGGATAGAATGGCCTGGTGGGCCAGATCTGGCCCGTGGGCCATATTTTGCCTGCCCGACACAGACCAGGTCTTTTGGTTCAAGTTGATATCTTTTATTAGATCAGCTTGGAGGTAGGTTCATGTTTCTAGCAGGCTTTTGGGAATCCATCAGCATACAAAGGGGTCACCCCATTCTGCGCTCCACTTAGCTTGAAAAAGGATACTGTGTTATCTGAAAGCTTGCTAGAAACATCAACCTACCTCCAAGTTGGTCTAATAAGATACCAACTTGAACCAAAAGACTCTGTCTATCATATAGCTCCAGACCAAAATGGCTGACCCCAAAAGAAAATTCTCCTTACACACTGTTCTCCAGAATGTGTATTATTAGTAAAATACTGCACACATGTTTGTTAAACACCCAAACTAAGGCTTGACCTGGGAGAGGAAGACAAGATGACCCAGTTGTCATGGAGCGATCAGTGCAAAAAAGTCCCCCGAACTACCTGGAAAAGAATGTTGCCCGAAACAGGAGAAATTCCCAGTCAAACTAACTATTACAATTTGGGGTCCTGAAAGCTGCCAGCACTTCATAAATATTTAGGATGTGAAAAAAATGGTTGCAAAGAACAGGAGCATTAGGAGAAGCAACTGTCACATGGCTGTAGAGGTTGCCATCCCAAAGGGATGGAGAAGGCAGGCACCAAATCAGATGTTTTGCTAAGAAAGTTTCAGGCAGAAATCAAATCACAGCAGGGTCACAAAGTCTGAATGGTAGGCTATTGAGGCACCTTAAATATTAAATCTTTTAAATTACAGAGACATATTTATAACTACATTCACAACATGTTATCAGATACTGAACTGGCTTTCTTGCACACCTCTGTGCTAAAATGCAGCAGTATGCTGCAAGCCTTGCAGGACAGTAGAAATAGTTAAGAAAGTCTCATTTACCTTGTACTTCTGGGTATAGAGACATATAGAGGAGACACCACAGAAGTGTGTTGGTGGTGGTGTCAGTGCCTGCAATAAAAAGGTCACCAATGATAAAAAACAGGTAGTCTTCATTAAAGCTGCTATCCTTGTTTTTTTTTTTCTCCTCATCCACTTGGAGGAGGTACATATCAATAAAGTCCTGAGGATTTTCTGGATCCAAGTTCTCTCTGTGCTGTGCAATTATTCTTTTTAGGAAAGCGGTAATATTTAACTCAGCTTGCCTCAGTTCTCTGAAAGGCCCAAAGGGGAGGTAGTAAAGCCAAGGATAGATGTTGACCAGAATTACACTGCTGTTTATGCATATCTGTAGGGCACGTGACATGAGACTCAACAAGGTCGTAAACTCAACATCTTCATAATCAAAGCGCCTGCCAAAGGCCAGAGAGCAGATAATATTGGACACTCCATTGCTAATGACTGAAAAGGGGTTGAATGGCTCTTTTCCATGTGTTTTTATTTCTTCCTTAATATATTTCAGTTCTTCAATAATTTTAGGTTCCAGGCTGTTCTTCCCTAATCCAAAATGGCGAAGAGTTGTATGAGAAAACTTCCTCTGCTGCTTCCATACTGGGCCATAAGGAGCAAATACAATTCCTGAAAGAGAGAAATGGAATCCAAGTTGAATTGCTTAGTTTTCAAGAGGATGTGTTAATAGCCCTCCACAACTACAACCAGAGCAGGGAATAAGAGTTCAAAGAAGAGGATGGTTTTGTTTTTAAGGTGCAGAAGTTGAAGCCAGAGAGAGAGATTACTCTGTTCTCTAACTCATTCTAACTCATTACATGAACAACTCTTGTCTCTCAACTTTCTAACTTGTATATTGGATATGAAAGATACCCAATAGGCTTAATTAGTGTTTGTAATGCATTTGAAAGTCCTCACCTGGAACACACCATTTGAGTATAATTACCTCTAAACATCCTGAAATAGTTTCACGGGATGATCGAATTTGGTACCTATGTTAGCAGTAGCTATTAAATACTAGCAAACTGCCCATCAAGAATGATTGGGGGGGGGGGGAACAGAGTGCAACTACTGCCTCCCAGAAGCAGGGGGGTGCTTGCCCTGCCGTCCCCCACTGCCAGTACCCCACGCTGCCACCGCTTCCAGCACCGCTGGTCTCATGTCCCTGGCCCCACACCCCGGAGGCAGCAGAGCACAGCCAAGACAGTGGGGACGGAGCAGGGGGGCAAGGCCTGCACTGCTGGCCTTGCCTCCCCACTCTGTCCCCTCCATCATGATAGCACTCCACACTCTGATTGGTTGTTTCACTAACCAATCAGAGTGCTCCAAGAGTGTTATGGACAGACAGAAAGATGGACTAAGCCCTTTATTATATAATGAATTTAGGCAAGATGCAGATGACCAAATATTCAAGCACAATTTGTTCTGCATGGTGATATTATTGGTCTTTCTTCTCTGAAGGGTACAGATGCTTCTCAGTCCAACTTGTACATGTATAAATTCATATTAAAGGGAAAAACAACTGGCCCCAAAAATAATTGTTTTATACAACGTATATTAGGCAATAGGCTATGAAAACTGGAAGCAAGTTGTGACTGTATATTTAAATCCTGTTGCTAAAAAATACACTCAGGTTTATATCCCTAAGGGATTTACCAAAGCTCCAGACACATGTTTCCATAGGTGTGCTTTCATACATGGCTTATTCCATATTCAGTATTTTGATCATTTTGGTTTTTGAACTTTTTTAGGGTCAAATGTAAATATTATTTCCATGCAAACAAATTAATCTCTTGTGCTGGATTACAAAACAGGAATCTGGCACATTATGGCAGTTCATAAACAAAACACTGAACGAACTAGAGTGATTTACTGATTAACTACAGATTGATATGTTTAAACCTGCAGTTCAAACAAACTGATATACTGATGTTATTCTTCTGAGATGTACCATTACATTTTCATAGAAAGAGCAGCTCATTTCACAAAAGCAACCCACCAGCTTATTTGCCAAAATGATCTAATTATGAACGTTATTTTTAAAAGGAGTTTAAAAAACCCAGAAAAACTTTACTACCCTGTAAAAACTGGCAACAGAAAGGTATGTTTCTTTTGACTACTGTATAGCTACCCATAATTTTTAATGCAGAAATTCTCAGCATGAAAAAGGGGCTGTAATGCTACTTAAATAAAAGAAATCCAGGAAAAGTATGTGTTGACTTAAAGTCCAAAGGTTGACTAACTATTCAGTATAAAATGTCCCTACCCGGATTACATTGCAATCCTGGAGATCTGAATGGGTTATTTGTAATAAAGATTGGCAAACTAAGTTTATAGGTGGATTGTCTCATTATCTATTCAAAGCAACAACTGTATTGGGCTTAGACACCTGAACAAAATAAACCAATAATTAAGATCAGTCACAAAATAAAAGGAAAGTCCCTATGTTATGCAAACAGAGTAAACAAGTACTCAGTCTCATTTTGTCTGCATATACTTACGTCTTGGAGGACAGCTCTTCAGTGATCTACATGCTACATGGAATATTATTTTTCTTTAAACTTCTCAGATTGCCCACCCCGTATCAACCAGCACAGGTGCAAATTAAGTATATCTGATATGAGAAGACAGCCTAAGCATCTTTACTGAAGCAAAGACTCTCATAACTAGAATTAAAAACTAACGTGATAAATTAAGGCTTTCCTCAATCCCATAAAAAGAGTCTTTCAGACTCAGTTCTGCACAAGGCATTGATCTACAAAAGCATCCCAGACCATTTTGGAGCAGGGAACTGATTCACTAATAGGTAAAAACTAGCAAAAGAGGGGAAATATTAAAAATGAAGCTAAGGGCCAGGTAATAACAAAAAGTAGTAGGACAATAGTGTTTTGGTGTGTTCACAGAAGATCACTGAAAAAAAATTGTTTAAATGAACTGAAAGCCAAATATGCTGCCATGCTACAAGAAAGATTCTGAAGATGGCAGAGAAATGCAGCATGAAGCAAAGGAATTAGAAAGTCTTTCTAGACTTCACTAGACAATTAATGCACAGCAATAAAACTCTGAAGGTGACTGGCAAAGGAAAACAAAAGTGGGCATTGAAAACTTATGAAAAAAAGGTAAATTTATTTTTACATTAGTACTTAGGTCTGTAGTGCCTGAGAGCACTGTACTTGGCCACATGATTCCCCACCCACTACCTCCCTTCCCTGAAGTTTCTCACTGCTTCTCTTGATGTTACTGAATTTGTGGGAATCCAGGTGTAAGGTAAATGGTGGAAACAACCATGGTTGTTAAATGATCTCTCTCTGAGGTCTAAACAGCATTAAAAAGACTGCTGGCCACAGGACCCTCAGCTACACTACACCTAATGCCACTGCTACAACTTTGGCATTACACCACTGAGATTTATTTATTTGTATTTATTTTTTTTTTGTCAGGGAATAGGAAGGGGACTAAAAATAAACCTCCACTTGTACAGACAAAGCCTAACACATTTGGGAGAAGAGCTTTCACTGTTAAAAGAGTTATTTCAGTTAAAGGCTCATATATCAGTTACCCTTTCAGTCCTGCAACAAGCATAACAAAATGGAAGATAATATTTGACGCTGCTGATACTTCTACAGACAGTAGGAAGGAGATTATAGATTCATAGATTCATAGATTAAGGGTCGGAAGGGACCTAGTAGATCTTCTAGCCCGACCCCCCGCCAGGGCGGGAGAACAACAAAAAACCCCAAAAAGAGAAA